CCCCAGTACCAAAAAAATTAATAATATCTAAATTTAAATTTCACATTACCATTTGATAAAATACCCTACCTAAACAGCATATTTTTATAACAGCTCAAATATCTATTAAAAGAGTAAGTTATAGAAAAGTCACTGAAAGAAATACTAGACAACCTTTAAATATTGAGACAGACCTGAATGTGCTGGTAAAAAACAAATCCCACAAGGCAAGTACAGCACAACATGCACATTAGGTTCCATTTCTGTTTAAAGAAAGGATACAGTGCATGCATATATTCATAAGTATACATGAAAAATTTCAGAATGGGATACAGTTAACTGTTATTGGTGATTATTCTAGAAAAACTAAGTGTATGAAGTAGTACATTCAGCCAGGCATAGTGGCACACACCTGTAAACCCAGCACTCCAGAAGCTGAGGCAGGAGGATCGCTGTGAGTTTGAGACCAGCCTGGGCTACAAAGTGAGCTCAAGGCCATCCTGAACTGCATAGTGAGACTCTGTCTCAAAAAGCCAAAAAAAAAAAAAGAAGAAGAAGAAAAAATAGGACACTCTTCATTGTATACCTGTTTATATTACTTTACTTATTTACTAGCTCTGCGCATGATACTAACTTTAAAAAATTTGAGGCTGGTTGCAGTGGCACATGCCTGACACCCCAGCACTCAGGAGGCTGAGGCAAGAGGATCATTGTAGGTTAGAGGCCGGTCTGGGTTACAAAATGAGTTCAAGGCCAGCCTGAACTGCGTAGCGAGACTCTGTCTCAAAAAGACAAAAAAATTTTAAAAGTAGAGTAAGAAATAAAAAAATTGAGATACGACATCACAACAATCAATCCACTAATATTTCTGCCAGGCGTGGTGATGCACACTTGTAATCCTAGCACTCGGGAGGCTGAGGCAGGAGGATTGTTGTGAGTTCAAGACCAGCCTGGGCTACGAAGTGAGCTCAAGGCCAGTCTGAACTGTATAGCGAGACCCTGTCTCAGAAAGACCAAAAAACAATTAAAAAATAAAAATTAAAAAAACCTAGTATTTCTATGCTGATGAAGTGCTTACCATTGTACACAGTACTGTGTAGGACATAAAATCCATCCTGTTTCCAGGAGTTTACACTCTAGCTGAATTTGTAATTTGGTTTGTTTGAGAAAAGTAATTATCGAATTGTTTGGACACTGATCTAACACAAAACTAAATCAGATATTTTTCTTAAGTACTTTTGTTTTTTATTTTTGTCTTTTTTGGTTGTTTTTTTTTGTTTTGTTTTGTTTTGTTTTTTCTGGTACTGGGAATTGAACTCACAACCTTGTGTTTGCCAGGCAGGCACTGTGCCGCTGAGCTAAATCCCCAGCCCCTGTCTTTTTTTTTTTTTTGAGACAGGGTTTCACTACGCAGTTTTTTGGCTGGCCTTGCACTCACTTTGTAGCCTCGAACTCACAGAGATCCTCCTGCCTCAGCCTCCCAAGTGCTGGGATTAAAGGGATGTGCCACTACGCCTGGCTTTTCTTTAAGTATTTTTGTACTTACAACTCTGTAAGAATGAATATCCACCTACAATGAATGAATTTTGTGTCTAACTCATTAGGTCCAACCAACACTGCTTGGGATTAATAATGTTATTTCCTGAGAAGTGGTAAGAAGGGAGGAAAAGCAAGAAGAATCTGTACCAACAACCCCATTATATACACACTGCATACTACGTGAAGGGAAAAAGACAACGGACAAATATCACCTCTGGGTAGCTGAATTTGTCTCCACTACGTATTTTTTTACATTTTCTTCATTCTCTACTAAGAAACATGCACGTTTTGTTTTGTTTTGTTTTTGAGACAGGCTCTCTACGCAGCCCAGGCAGGCCTTTGACTTCACTACGCTCTGGAACTTGTGATACTCCCACCTCTGCCTCCCAAGCGTTGAAATTACAGATTTGAGCCGCAGAGCCCAGCAGGAATATGCATCAATATTACAAAAAGGGAAAAAAATAAAACAAAAAACCACCAACCGCTAGGGAGGCAGAGGCAGGAAAATCACAAATTAAATTTAAGGTCAGTATGAGCAAATTAGCAAGACCCTGTCTCAAAATGAAAATAAAGAAGTACTCTGCACCACCCAGGCTTGATCCCTAGTACTGGGGAGGGCAAACACGGGGCAAAAAATACATCCTTTCTCCTCAAAAACTTTCTTTTTTAAAGGTACTGACACAATATTCATGAGGAGTACGAGCTCGCCTAAATCTTCCTCTCGCTTTAGGGAAGTCATAGCAACACAAACTGACTGTCCAAAGGCTGACACAAGGGGGACTCAGCTAAACCAACAATCATCCTGCACGTCCAAACGCTCCATTTATAAAGTCTGCAGCCCACAATGTCAATTAGCGCATAATCCATAACGAACACATTATTGCTGACAAGGGAGGCAGAATGGGATCTGGATCACTCTCCTATAACTCTGTTATTTCCTCTCACCCAGTGAAGAAAAGTCTGTGCTGGCAAAGGCTTTAGCTGACAATGGAGGTGCATAGGAAGTGTGATGCAATTAATTTCCATCAGCTTATCCAGTGAGAAAAAAAAGAGATGAAAACCACTGCGTGGGTGATTAGGAACTTTCTCAAACGGTAACTTCCACGGGTAACTCTACCCACCTGGAGACGACAAAATCATCACCACTAAAAGTACAGTGCGTGGACCACACGTACCCCACAGACACTGCTAACAAAGGGCCTGGACACTGTCCCAGGGCCTAGTGGTAAGTCCATCCCATTCCTAAACTCTTGCCACCCTCTAAGCAATCCCACCAAGTGAGCGGGAGTCACAGAGACCACGCAGCCGGTGTGTGGTAACACAACAATACAGTGAGCAGTGAACTGGGACGTGAACCAAGCTGCCTTTTCTTGAAAGCCCACTGCAAGGCACAGGCATCGCACTAATTTCATTTGGAAGCACAAACATCACACCAGCCCTTTCCCAGTCACTCCCACCCGCCACACACTAGGAGCTCCCAGCTTGCTCTTATCACAGGATACCCCCTCCCCCAGCTCAGAATTAGACCAGGTACCCTTTAGTCATCCTAGAGGCCTTCACTGGCTTTCACCAATCAGAAGTCATTATGCTTTGAACATTCCCTGGAAATTTAAATTGAAACCTAATCTTCAAATCTGTAAAGTGCCGGGCGTGGTGGCCCACGCCTGTAATCCCAGCGCTCAGGAGGCTGAGGCAGGAGGATGGTTGCAAGGTCAAGGCCAGCCTGGGCTACACAGTGAGCTCAAGGTCAGCCTGAACTGCATAGTGAGACCCTGTCTCAAAAGGACAAAAAAAAAAAAAAATTGTAAATTGATGGTGAAGTAGAGCCTTTAGAAAGCAACTGAGATAAGATAGGGTCATCAATGTGGGGCTCTCCTCAGCAGATGGATGGCTTTGTAAGAGAGACCTCCCAGGCATGGTGGTACGTGCCTACAACCCAGCCTACTCCAGAAGCTGAGGAAGAAGCACAAGTTCAGCCAGGCATGGTGGCACAGGTCTGTTACCCCAGCACTTGGGAGGATGAGGCAGGAGCATCTATGCCGGTTAAAGGCCAAGCTTGACCACAAAGAGAGTTCAAGGCCAGCCTGAACTACAAAAGCCAGACCCTAAGGGAAAAAAAAAATCACAAGTTCAAGGCCAGGTCTGCCTGGCCAACTTAGTGAGACCCTGTCTCAAAAGAAAAAAAAAATTTTTTTTTGGTCTTTTTGAGACAGGGTCTCACTATGCAGTTCAGGCTGGCCTCGAGCTCACTTTGTAGCCCAGGCTGGCCTCGAACTTGCAGTGATCCTCCTGCCTCAGCCTCCCGAGTGCTGGGATTACAGGCATGCACCACCACGCCCAGCAAAAATTTTTTTTTTATAAAAAGAAAAATAAATAAATAACTGGATGTGTAGTTCAGCGGTAGAGCACCTGCCTAGCAAGTGCAATGCCCTGAATTCAATCCCCAGTAAAATAGGGAAGAAGAGAGAACTAAGCTGAAGCGTTTGCACCCTACCTCACCCCATGATGCCCTCTACCTTGATGCAGTACAGCCCAGACGCTGGTGTCCTGCTCTTGGACCTCTCAGCCCCCAGAACTTTAAGCTAAATGAATCTTTATTCCTTTTAAATTACTTGCGCTCAGGTATTTTGTCACTGCAACAGATAACAGACTAAGAAACCCCTAAATAAAACAAGAGGTTATCTGGTAAGAAAACTGACCTTGTAGAAGGCTTTTTTTTTTTGGCAGTGCAGAGGATTGAACCCAGGGCCTAAGACATACTGGGCTGGCACTGTACCGCTGAGCTACAGCCTCAGCCCTAAAAACACTTTCTAAAAGACCTGCCTCTCTAAATCAAGGTAACAGGTTCATGCCTAATTCCTGACATTCCCACAGACCCAATGTATTTCTTTCCCTGGATATGGACAGTCCCTTATCATTGACAACTGCTCACAACGTACCATGTGCTCTCCATCAGAAAACTGTGTTAGAACAACTCTCCCTAATAATAATACTAACAACAGCGGCCATATACTGAGCATTTATTACAGGCTGTAGAACACTGTCTCCCTTCATCCTCATAACCCAAGAAGTAGACATAGTTCCCTTTTTTAAAATTTTTTTTCAGCACCAAGGATGGAACCCGCGGGCACTGTACCACTGAGCTACCTTCCCAGCACTTTTTATTTTGAGACAGAATCTTGCTATGTTGCCTCCTGCGTCAGCCTCCCTCTGTGCTGGGATGATAGGCCTATGCCACCACATCCAAATTCTGTTCCCATCTTGTAGAGAAAACGGGCTCAGAGAGAAAAGTAACTCAGCCCAAGGACAGGCAGCTGATAAGTAACTAAATCTGACTCTAGGCAACCGAAGCCTTCAGAGGACTTGGCTTTTGATGATTAAAATTCGAACACTCGCGGCCTTATCTTTTGGAGATCTACCTTCCCACAGCCGGTGTGCTCCTCCTCCTCCCCATCTGAGTCCCGCCAGGCCCAAGTGCTTACCTGAATCTCTTCGTTTTCATCTACTAGGAGGAAACTCACGACCTTCTCAGTCATCTTCTTCCTCTTGGTCTCTTCGTCCATCTCCTCCGCCTCCAGGGACTCCTGGATCCTACTGACATTGTACACGGTAATGGGGTGTCTCCTCTTGCTGCCCCCAGAATGAGTTCTCTTCTGGCACTCCAGGCACAGGTTGTTTTTGCAGCTCTGGCACCTCACAAATGCCCTCTGCCTAACTCCTGGAGAATGCCCGTTGGGGCTCTTGCAGATGTCACAGTAAGGGACATGGCCGGCTTTCAGTCTTATGCGCTCGTGGTTTCGCAGGCGCTCCTGCCGGTGGAGCTCCTCCTCGCAGCGCAGACACTGCAAACTGCAGCACTCGTCACACTCAAACACAGCTTCGTCCGTCCCGCTGCAGGCGTAGCTCTCCTGGCACATCAGCCCCGGGTTCAGGCCCTTCTCTGGCAGGGAGGTCTGGGCACTCATAACGCACACTGCTGAGGAAGCACACCCACCATGTAAGAGTCACCGAGCTCGCCCCAAGGCTGAAGGAAGCGGCCCTGAGTCCAAAGACCGCACAACACTTCCACAGGGATCTGAACTCCTTAAGAAAGAAAAACAGTCCTATTATAATCCTTCACACATGCACAAATACTCAGATTTTTAATTTTCTGCTTCTCAAACTCTCGTATCAGCAGCAGTGTTGGCTTGGTCTGACGGTTTCATCTTCGGTAAAGTGCAGACAAAGATATAGTCAAAATGAATTTGGAAGTCTTTGATGGCAATCTGAGAAGGGTGTGGCGTTACGGACGTGGGCTAACGTGCAGGGCCTCAGCCACAGTGTGTTGGTAATGAAGTGGTCAGGAGCTTTTCAGAATAATTCAACCTCAAGTCAGTATTTTAGGGGACACCTAGAATAGAGGAAGGAAAGGGATTTCAGTCATCTAGAAAACAGAAGTACACCTTAAAACAAAACAAAAACAACAAACTCCATTTTTCTGCAGTTTAAACCATATTAGGTGTGGTGGGATGTCCCTGTAATCCCAGCACTTGAGAGGCTGAAGGAGACCAGTTTGGGATATAGAGTGGGACCTTCCCTTTTAAAGAAACACAAAAAAAAAGTCAGTAAATAAGTAAAGCCTAAGCCAGGCGTGGTGGCGCAGGCCTGTAATCCCAGCACTGGGGAGGTTGAGGCAGGAGGATCACTGTGAGTTCAAGACCAGCCTGGGCTACAAAGTGAGCTCAAGACCAGCCTGAACTGCATACTGAGACCTTGTCTCAAAAAAAAAAAAAAGCCTATAATCCCAGCACTGGGAAGGCTGAGGCAGGAGGACCACTGCAAGTTCAAGACCAGCCTGAGCTACAAAGTGAGCTCAAGGCTAGCCTGAACTGCACAGTGAGACCCTGTCTCAAAAAGACAAAAAAAAAATATACCATATGTAATGTACTTGGGTGTAGAGAATATCAATGTAGTTTTGAGTGTAAATGTGTGTGGGTGCTGATGATTTTGTGTTTTCTTTGGGAGTGGAAAAGGAAAACAATTCAAGATGAGAAATTACTCCCAAAGATGCATTTTTATAAATTTTACTAAAGAGTTTTGTTTAAAAATTTTTAAATGAATAAAAAAAATTTTAAAAACAGAAAAACAACAAGAAAAAGACTGATTAATACTAGGTCAAAATTACTGAGAGAGGAAAAAAAAAATTACTCAGAGAGTTCTCATTTTTTTGCTTGTTTTGTTTTTGGCGTTGTTTTGGGACAGGATCTCACTATGCAGTTCAAGCTGGCCTTGAACTATGCTGCCCAGGCTGGCGGCAATCCTCCTGCCTCAGCCTCCGGAGTGCTGGGATTACAGGCATGTACCCCTACATCTGGCTCTCATTCTTGCTTGTAAAACCTAAGACAGTCTTACAATACTAGCTATTTCTTCCCAAAATCATGGCTAGGGTTTCTCCTTTTAACAAACACCACCTTTAGGCCCAAGGCTTGCGGTTCTATTCCCCAGACTAAAGTCATGTTCACTCAGATATTAAATTCAGAACCAAAATCACTAAGCAAACAGCCCTTGAAATAATCCTCTGCACCCCTACCTGCACCTCACAACTGGGAGATGAAAAACGAGGTCTGTAAACACCTAAAGAAAACAACAATAAACTTTAAACCCATCGCGGACCCATGCAGATCCAGTTATCCCTGTCACTGTCTGAACTGTAGACAGACGCTTCGTAAGGACTCCGCATTTGGAAACAGGTCCCGTTTTCACGCTCAAAAACAATAAAACAATTACTGCACTTCCTTTTGTTGCTTCTGCAGGGGCAAAACAAAAAGTGAGCAACAGGAGACAGGATTCCTGCACTACGGTCCACCGTGAAAGCAGGCCCGCAGAGAGGCGAACCAACAATTTTAACCTCTGTCACTCAAAAATAAAGATGAAAATAACCTCCGACACAAAGAGAAAAAGCGACAGCCGGGGGAGGAAAGGGGCTGGGGTCCCCCGCGCAATCACGCTCCTGACGCCCGCGGCTCGGCCCGGTCCCAGCGCCCGCAGGGTGGAAAGTCCTCCGGGGAGCTTCACTCCTCCCTGCTGCAATCACTCTATCAATCTTATTTTCAGATAAACAAGGAGGACAAGGGAGTGACCAGGCAGCCGTGCGGACACCCCGACCGAAGCCGTGCCCGACCGGCACCCAGATCGGAAACAGAAATCAAGACTCGCCCCGACGGAGAAACACAGAAACCCACCCCCGAAGGACGCCTCGCTCCCTGCAGGCCCCGCGCACACGCTGCCCACCGGGCCCCCGGCGCGGGCGCTCGCCCTGCCTTCCGCACACCACGCCGCCACCGGCCGAGGGGCAGCCG